AACTGCAAAAAAAAAAAAAAAAAACCTCTGGACCATCATTATATTTTCTGTTTCATTTATATTTGCTCTAATTTTTTATTATTTCCTTCCCTTACTCATTTTAAAATTTGTTTGTTCTTTTTCTATTTCCTTCAGCACATAACTAGGTTGTTTATTTGAGATTTTTTCTTGCTTTTTTATGTGGCCTTGCATTGCTAAGAACCTTCATAATTGCACTTTTAGATCATCCCATAGGATTTTGTGCCTTGTTTCATCATTTTTGTTAGTCTCCAGATACTGTTTATATATTATTTTAATTTTCTTATAGGTCTTCTATATCTTTTTCTTTGGTGTATATCTCAGCATTTCTACTCTTTTATTTTTGTTTCTCCATCTTGTGTTCAAATGTTCCTTGCTTCCTTAGAATAAATATTGACTTGCTCTCTTTTTTATGATTGGGGTGCTGTGAGTTTAGTTTTGTTTGTGTTTCTTTGCTTAGCTCAGAGTCAGGTGAGTGCATGAGAGGAGACTGGAGATTAAATACTTGGTTTCACTTTATTGAGGAGTAATTTTGTAACCTGTCTCCTGTCCTCACTCCACAGCAAACTTGGTTCACTGTATCTGTTGTCACAACTTCTACTCTGCTTCTTAGCTATTCTGTTATGCCAACGGCTGTGATTCACCAAGCTTAAGTGTCCTGGGAAGGGGACCTAGGCTTAGTCCACAGAACTTAACCTCAGGAACACCATTGGCCCAGTAGTCATCGGGCACCAGAAATGTTGTAGAGCAACCCCGATACAAAACGGGGTGCCTGACTGTGGGTCCTCACCGCGTGCTTAAAAGGACTTATCAATGCTCTACTGCAGGCACACGCGAAAGGTTAATAAAAGGTGTATTTACAAGGGAAGGGGAAATGAGGAAATGTACAGCTCAGGGAGAAAAGTGGGAGACAAAGTTTCAAATGAGTCCTACCCAATCCACCAATCAGGAATCCCAAAATGGCACCCTGAGAGCTGGCCGCAAGCCAGGAGCCGTGAAGCAGGGAGGCGAGCGATAGCGAGCCCCCCAAGGCCCACGTGTTTGGTTTTTATACCCAACCTGGCTACTTAACTCCACCCTCAGGTCCCAGCCACCCTCCCTTTAGTGGTGATGGGATTTGTCTTTCCCAATGTCTTTTTTTTTTTTTAATATTAAATTTTATTTTTATATTCCCCATACAATTGCAAACGCCCCATTCTGACCCCAATCCTTCCCCTCCCGCCCCCCACCCCCCAAAAAGTGTCTCTGGTTCATAGTTTTTTGTTGATTTTGATTTTCACTTTCTTATATTCATTTTCCTGGTCCCTTATTTAAGTTTTCTAGATTCCTGCTATGAGTGAGACCATCCGGTATTTTTCTTTTTCTTTTTGGCTTATTTCGCTGAGCATGATCCCTTCCAGCGCCATCCATGTTGCTGCAAATTGCATGTGTTTATCTTTTTTGAATGCTGAGTAATATTCCATGGTATATATGTACCACATCTTCTTGATCCAGTCATCTATTTTTGGGCATTTGGGTTGTTTCCAAAGCTTAGCTATTGTAAACAGTGCTGCTATAAACATAGGGGTGCAGGTGCTCTTTGGAATTGATGTTTCTGTGTCCTTTGGGTAAATACCTAGGAGTGGAATTGCTGGATCATATGGAAGCTCTATGTTTAGTAGGTCCAGAAATCTCCACACAGCTCTCCATAGTGGTTGGACCAGTTTGCACTCCCACCAACAGTGCAGAAGAGTTCCTTTTTCTCCACACCCTCGCCAACATTTGTTGTTGCTAGTTTTTTTAATATGTGCCATTCTCACTGGTGTGAGATGGTATCTCATGGTAGTTTTGATTTGCATTTCCCTGATGACAAGTGATGTTGAACATTTTTTCATATGCCTGTTGGCCATTTGCATTTCCTCTTCAGAGAAGTTTCTTTTTAGCTCTTCTGCCCATTTTTTGACTGGATTATTTTCTTTGTTGTTGCTGAGTCTCATCAGCTCTTTGCAGATTTTTGTGATCAGTCCTTTATCATTAGTGTTGGGTGCAAAAATGTTCTCCCAGTTGGTGGGGTTTCTCTTTGTTTTTGTTATTGTCTCTTTTGCTGTGCAGAAGCTCTTTAATTTGATGTAGTCCCAGCTGTTTATTTTTGTCTTCACTATCACTGCTTTGGGTGATGTGTCTGTAAAGATGTCTTTGATGTGCAAATCCCGTAGTGTTTCGCCTATATTTCCTTCTATGTATTTTATGGTTTCAGGTCTTATGTCTAGTTCTTTAATCCATTTTGAGTTGATTTTTGTGTATGGTGTGAGGTAGTGGTCAAGCTTCATTCTTTTGCATGTAGCGACCCAGTTTTCCCAGCACCGTTTATTGAACAAACTTTCTTTGCTCCAATGCATAGTCTTTGCTCCTTTGTCAAAGATTAGTTGACCATAAATCTGTGGGTTTATTTCTGGATTTTCTATTCGATTCCATTGGTCTGTATGTCTGTTCCCAATGTCTTGATGGCTTTAGTCTGGAGTGGGGGTGGGGTCCACAAAGCCTGTATGGAATTAGCTCAGGACATCCTTTCCCCCTAACAGAGACATCATGTTCCCTGTCACACAGCATTTGCTGTAAGTAATGATCCCCTCTGCAGCAACCTCTGCAGCCACCACCACTGCCGACTCATGTACAAGGACCAGGGCTGCAAATGCAATATGTCCACTAGCTTCTTTCCAATGGAACAGTTCTCCTGCTACTGGCCTTACAGCTTAGCCTAGTGAGTCCTAGGGCAAGTTAGGGTTAATTAGGCAGCTTCCGGGACAGTGCAGGCATGTACTTCAAGAGAATTAAAAAAGCTTCTGAGATAAGGGCAACAAAAGGAATAAGGGAAGCTCCAGAGATAAGGGCAACAGATTGCAAAGGGGGTTAATCAAACACCCTAGGACCAGTGACAGCCAAAGTTCCTGGACAAGGGCAATAAAAAGGGGAGGGGGGTTCTCTGATAAGGACTGTAAAGCAGGAAGATTGCAAGCACAGTAGCCAGAGTGAGTGAGACCACTGAGAACTACACAATAATTAGGGAAAGAAGGTATATATTCCCTGAGGCACCACTCCACTTCCGCTTCCTTTCCCCTCCCTGACCTGGGTGACCAGCACAGCAGCCTTGGCCAGATCTATGCCTGTGTAGCCTGACCTCCCTTTCTAAACAGCCCTTCTGGTGCAAGTCCCCATGCCCCCTCCACCCCACGCAGCCTGTGTGGTCTCTGATATTCAAGCTGTGTTCTAGTTCTGCCCAAGCCAAGGACTCTCTGAGTGCAATTTCCTAATAGCTAATATTAGTGTTCCTCTCCAGAATTAAACAGGGAACCTCCTCTGTTGCCATCTTGATCAAATCCCCATCTCTTTTTTTTTAATCCTCAGCAGTTTATATTTGCCTATGACTAATCCTGACTAGTATTTCCAGTGATAGAATATATTCATTTCATGGGTAGTATCAAGTTTCCCTCATTTCTGTGACAAAGTATCTTGAATGTTTATATTTGAATGATTTAGTTTTCCATTTATATATGTTCCTCTCTATTTTAGTTTCCATTTTGTCATTTCACTTTCTTGAAGCATATTCTCTATTTACCTGGTTAACGCATCAGCTGATTTGTCTTCCTATTTCTTTTTCCAATACGGTCTTCCTATATATAATATGATGCTTAATTTCCATATTCACTTTTTTTTTGAGTTCTGCCTGCCAGCTTACTTTTTCATTTCTCATTGTTGTCTTTTCTTTTATTCCATGAACACTTGTATCTCAGTACTACATTCACAACTCATAGAAAATGATTTGTCATTATGTCTTTTGAATCCTTGGAAAAAATTTCAATTTTTTTCAAGTGTTCCATAACAAAACTTTTCTGCTCTATGTTCATCTGCTTTTTGTTTCTCTGTTCCTTTCCTTCATTGTATTTCTTACAGAATTTACACTAAAAATAGTAGCTGAAGGCTTGAACGATTTTACATTTTGTTTCCAAAATGAGGAAAAAATTTTGTGTGTGCCTTAGTTGTTTCTTTCTTTTTTTTTTTCCTTCTTCTTGTATTAACTTAGATGTTAGTTTTTGCATACCAGCTATTTGGAAGGTGAGGTTAGCATGGATTCAGGGATAGAAAAATGATTTCAGCTAGTAGAAACCCTCCTGGTCAAAGTAAAACCTCATATAACAGAAAGTCATGAAGTATGTGGAATGTGTCTAGACCTAGTTTTCCTTTAATTAGAATATGGCTTAATCCCCACAGATTCCCCTCTATCTTGAGTTGCAGAATGGAGGATAATACAGATTAGAAATATGATGTCCCATAGAAATTTGATGTGCACGTCTTGGTTTTATTACACTTTCCTCCACTTGAGACCAGTGGGTTTCCCACAGCCTGTCCACATAGGCAACTGTTGTTTTTCTAAAGAATTTTTTCCCTTTGGGTGTTCCATACAAGTGAGTACTTTGCTGGCCCCATTCAAAATCTATAGGGGCCCAGCAACCACTTTACTTGCATAGGATTCACTGACAGTTCTGCTCTTATGATTATTATGAGAATAATAAATACCATGATTTATGAGAAAATGTTAGTTTTAATCAAAGAGCATATTTTCCATTCTGCCTCTCATATGTCTAATAATATTCAGTTGGACTTCTGAAAGTTGAAGAGGGTATAAAACTCTTTAATTCCTATAGTGGACATTTCTAACACATGTTTTTAAATATTAATAGAAGTTACCCAGTTATTTTCAAATTTGCTCCTCATCAAAGTATGCATAAACTGTTCTTTGTTTCGGTTTCCAATTTTTGTGTACCTTCCAATAGGGTATTTCCTGTATAACTCTAAAAGAAAATGTACTTTCATGTTATTAGAGCCACATTTAAGAAGAAAATGTTGTAAACAATGTCCATTTAATAATACTCCTTGGCACCAAATGTACCTTCATAGTTTAGCTCAGTGCTTGAGAGGGCAAGATGACCTGCAGTCATAGTTACCTAGCTGACACCTGGCTCCTGTTTGGCCAGGTGGACATTGGCACTCTCCAGTCACTGGGTCACATTGTCCTGAACCACAGGAACACAGCTTGACACAGTCCTGTCCATAATGATCTTCGGGACACACTACAGGGAGGAACAAAACAAAGCAAAGCAAAACCAAAGCACATTTTCTTATTTAAACATTTTCCATGGGCCTCCCTGGCGGCTCAAGGGGTTAAGACACAACCTATGAAGCTATCTGCAGCCACTGCAGCACGAGTTAGATCCCCGGCCATGGAGCAACCCACATGGAGCAGCAGACAACTCCTGACTCACCTGCTGCTCTCCTCAGCAGCATATTTCAGTCAATCTGTCTGTTCTGTTCCCTGCTCACCCCCCACACATCTGGCCTGTACCCCAGCTCTTGTATGTATAAATAAATAATTTTTAAAAAAAATAAATATTCTTTTTCCAGTCAAGATCTTTTCCACTCCAATTATGTTTATGTAGGTAAACTTGGTTTACATTATGGCATTTGTTTCAGGAGTTATATGTTCAAACCTCTACAAACCGGTAAATGCACAATCATTTCTTTTCAATTAGGTTCCTGTTTGGCCTTCCATTTGGTTTTCCATATTAAAGGTTACTTTGTAAAAACAAAACAAAAAAAGAAAGCTACTGAAGTTGTTACTTACTTCAATCTTAGTTGTCATCTAGAATTTCCAAACAAATATTTAAGGTCAACCTCTTACATAGATGATATAAAGACTCTTAAAAACAGTATTGCTTTCCCATATGACTATGTTAGCAAGTACATGTGTGTGCATGTAATAATCTTGCTTATATGTCCTTCTAAACTACATCTGGAATTTTAGCTTTATATTTTTATATATTGAAATAGGGCCCATTCTGCTCACATCTTCAAATATTTATATATATATTAATTTATGTACAAATGTATTGTTAATATATGTCCAAAAGTATTGTTTTACTTATATTGTCTGTAAATTATCTCATATTCTGTGTTCACTATCTCCAAGGAATTACATTTATTAGATCAGTCATATTTTTATTATAAATTAAAAATTGATTGTTAATAAATCAATGCATTCATTAATCTGTTTGGTGCAAGCTCATTCCACAAATTCATTGAGATGTTTACCAAAATACAGAAAACACACAAAGATAAAATAACTATCTGTGAGCACCATGCGAAAGAAAAGTACAGTGATATATACACAAATGGATATTCTAATCCTTTTGACTTGTGTGATGTGGACTCCAAAATTGGCTCAGACCTTTGTAGCCATCAAACCAAAGAAGGAAAACTGCTCAGGCACAAGATAGCAGCTGACTGAAGACAAAATTAGTCCTGATGTTCAGGGAAAGCATAGGTTTTGAAGATGCTTTGGCCAGAGAAAGTTAGGAAATTTCTCCCAATTCTCTCTGAAGAACAAACACAAAGGAACCAGTCAGAACCTTCCTTATGAGATGTTTATGGGTTGGCTTTAACTCAAAGATAACTTGGCAGTTCAACCCTCAGAGGCAGTATCCACTAGGTTTCAATTTTCCACTACCTGGAGCCAGGACTTTGTCTGATTCTTCTTTTATCTTCAGTACAACAGGGTACAGAAACAGGACAATTTAGCATAAAAATTACCCAATACAAAGAAGACAGACAATCTACCAGGGAAAGATAAGGATTGTGGATGTCTTTAGTAATTAATAAATAAGTATCCTGCCTAATCATAAACTTCTCTATCATTTTTCTAAATAAGGGAACCTCAAGTTCACAATCACTGTATTTCTGTTTAAGATATATTGCTGGTACTTTTATCATTTTAATTGTGGATTATAGACTACAGAATAATGCACAAAAACCTAAGTGTGCATTGAAGGGTGGCGATCCCAATGAAGGGTCACAAAGTGAACATCTTCCTCAAGAGCTCACTGGGCAAGGAGCATAGTATTGCCAGCAGCACCTCCTCATCACATGATTTCCTAATCACTGCCTCCTCTGCCTTCCTTAAAAATTATTACAAGATTGTAAACGGTCCAAATATTTAGAAAATGGCAGATCTGATAAAAGCAAAATGTATTTGCAAGCATATTCCTATAGTGCACAAGCCAATACATTTTTAACAGACCTTTAATCTATATCAAGTCCCAATAACTTTATGCCAATAGTTTTTATTGGTAATATATGATTAAAATCTTTGTATTTAGGAAACTAGTTATTATTATGTAAGTAGTGGGATAGTATATTTTTGAACTAAGTGCAGAGGATAAATAAAATTGTGGAACTGTAGACAATAAGTTTGACATTGTCTACACCAGAATTTCCAATCTGCTCAGATATTGACAAACAGACTTTCTTTTTTTTTAATATTTTTTAAAGATTTATTTCTTTATTTCTTTATTTACACAAGCACTGGGTACAGTCAGAAGCACGGGAGGGTGAGAGAATTCACCAGAGCCAGAGCGGGGAACAGAACAGGCAGACCAACAAAATACACTGCTGAGGGGAGCAGCGGGTGCGGCAGGAGAGGTCTGCGTGCCATGTGGGACCCTCGCCGGTGGCTGGGGATCGAACCGGCACTGCAGAGGCTACAGGCAGCTTTGCAGCCCAGTGCTCAACTGCTGCGCCACCAGGGGAGGCCCAACAGACTTTCTAATACTGAATTGAGTCAGCATTGCTGTGGCAAAAGAGATTCTAATAAAAGGACTCTATTTGACTTCCTTCACTACCTTCATCTCTCTTTCAAATTCCTGATGTAAGTCCTACAATTTGGATCAGCTTGTGTTTGCTGTTACTGCAATAAATTTTTCAGGTATAACAACTGCAATAATACATAGTTTTTAAGTGCATTTCTTAAAATCTCCAATTTAGCATACACTTCAAAATAGGTACAGTGACTTACTTTGACTGCAGTCAGCCCCGATGAAGCCAGGAGGGCAGTCACAGGTGCCAACTGCCATGTTACAGCTGCCACCATTCAAACACCTACAGGTCTTTTGACAATATGGACCATAAGTGCCTTTTGGGCATCCTGCCAAAGGAGAAAATAGTTATATGTTGTACTGTAACTTTAATCACTGTTTAAATCCATGCCTATGAATAGGTGGTCATGTGAACATTCCATTTATTCTTTGGTGTTTTCGATCACCTTCAGGTTATGGATTCCAGTCATGAACTTACCTGAGGCTACAGATGATATAGATAAATGCTTGAGATAGAGATGTGTATAGAAGGTTCCTGCTGCTTTTCTCTAATAAGATACAAGCAAGTGAACTTTGGGCTTCTTTGGAAATCTACCCACTTTTATAGAATACTCAGAATTTGAGCACTTCACCAAATAAGACTTTCAGTTCAGCCTAATACTGTTTTTAGCCATTTTTACACAAAATTATTTATTTTGAATAATGTTAAAATGTTATAACTTGATTGTTCACGAATAATCTAATAATGAATTCAAAATGGCCTCAAGAGAGAGGAAGAGTTTTCATTTCAGTTAGTTTTTCAATTTCCTAGTTTTAAACTATGGATGTGTTGCTCACCATATGACACCTGTGTAAGAGATAAAGGAAGACCAACGAGGACAAAAAGTGAGCTGAAGACTGTATTATATTATCTGTGCAACAATTAAAAGATTGGGGATGTTTAGCCAGGAGAAAGTAGAACTAAGACAGAACTATTTAATGAGTATGCCGTCTGTTGAAAGACGTTATATAAGCTAACCTCTTAATTCCACAACTCATTAAATTTATATCGAGAGTTTGTATGTGTTTACAGAAGCGTCCATTACTTTTTCCCTTCAAGAATCAGTTATTTTGCTGACAATTCTGCTTCCTCATATAATTCTGTGGCTCCATAAAATGTTGATGTCTGGAAGTATGTACACATGCCTTGCAGAAATGTTCACTAAATTTGACAGAGAAACATATACTCAGGACATAATGTCTTAATTTCACTTGTTAGCATGATATTTGGTCTCCCCACCTTCATTTCCTAAAGTTCCCTTTGAATAATTACTTGGGTTTTGCCACATCCTTTACAATCATTTCCCCTGGGATATTTTGTTGCTTTGCAAATGGGCTTCCAGTTATTTTCTGTTAGAAAGTGACTTTTTCATACTCTCTTCACATCATCCCCCCTCCTTGAGGGAGCTCGACTAGGAACAAACTTGGATATGAAGTTAGAGGTTTGGTTTGTTTCAGTAGTAAATCCTTGTGGGCACTGACTTTGTGGGAAAACTATCGTGACTGCACCTGAGGGGAGAAATCCTTTGTTGTGAAAATAACAAGGGTGTTTAAAAAAGTTAAATAAAAACATAAATATTAAAGACTACTGTATACAGTGAAGAAGTGAATGACAGTTAGTAGTTTCACTAGAAATGTAGAACAAGAAAGGTGGTGACTTTATCTCAAACACTTAAGGTTTGAAACAAATGACAAGAATGAATGAATTTTTCACAGGGTCTGTTTTCCTAGTACTTGAGCAAATTACTCATACATATACTAGTCATTGTTAGATAGTTTTCTTTTATTCCTTAAAAAGAAATATTAAGGTTTAGTCCATCTGAATTTTTGTTGCTATGCCCATGAGCATGAAAGCCAAGGTTCTAACCAGTGTCTCAATGTAGTGCATCCAGCAGGAGTGAGCTATTTCCTGGGCCATGTTTTGCAGAGAATTCCATACCAAGAATGGGTGTGTTCTTATAAATTCTGTCAACAAACTTGCCCATGGTTTTATGACTCCAATGCCTTAAATTCTCTCAGAGAGTTATTATAAATAGCATTTGGGGAAATAAAATAGTCCCAGTTACCTTACAATAACTCCTTGGTCATAAAATACATAACGTGATGAGTTTACATCTACTGGGCAGTTTATTTTTTCCCACATGCTGTCCACATGCTGAGACTGACCTTCCCAGTATAAATTATAAACAAGTTGTGAGATCCTACTGCAAGTTTCCTTCCTCTCACCTCTGAGGGGAAAATTTTGAGTCTCAACCCTGAACTTGAGAACATGAAAGCCCAGTTGTTTTTGGCTGCTGAAACTATTGCTTTTGAGCCAGCTACACCTTTTATGAATATTTTCTTGAGTCCTTTTATGTAGTCCTGTAATTACAGTGTATGTTGCCAAAGGACCTTTGCAGCAACATCCAACCACGTGTTGCCTGGAATTAGGTCAATCTGGATCATCAGGGAGCAGCTCCCTGACTCAGACTAGCTCTTTACAAGGGGAAGTTGTTCTCCTTCAACTCAAGATAGTTTGCCTTCTGGAAAAGAAGCACTACCAGCTACATGGAACTTGATACTATTTTATTAAGATAAAAATACCCTTGATATTGGGAAAGAATCCATCCTGAAAGGTGTGAAAAAATCAAATATGAGGACATAATTTCCTTCTTCTGGTACAAGGATGCTTGAAACATGTCATAACCAAATTATAACTGAAGTTTTACTAATTTTGTATTTTAGTACTTCATTTTATGAAGATTAAATAACTGCAAAGGTATGGGTTTCACACTAAACGCTAACTGAAACCATTTTTATACATGATTAATTGTGTTTTTAGCTGGCAATTTTTGTAATTAGCCAATTATGAAAATCAATATTCAAAATGCACATTCCATGGCTTATAGAAAATAAAAACCAATAGGTTACCGATGAGTTTGTTTATAGGTGGTGTTTTAGGGGAAAGTAAAAAAAAATCATACACGTATGGGCAGAATGAGGAAAGTAGAAGGAATCTGCTATAGGAGCAGCGAGGGAGAAGAAAGTGCAGCAATGGCCAAGTTGAGGGGAAAGATGAAACTCAAGCCAAATCATTTTATTCTTAAATCTATGAAAAGTACGTTAGAAATAATTACAGGCTTAAAAAATAAGTAGCTGACTGAACATTTTAACATGTTCCTTGGGACATTTTATCATGTGTTCTCCTAAAACCAGTTTCAATGTTGACCAATGTTAAAACAAACCAGTTTAAGGCATTTGGTGTAGGAACTACTCTGTTTTATTACACATCATGGGGTCACTGGCAGTTTGTCCTTTCAGAAAGTCATTGTTTCATGATAATTTGTTTAAATTGACTGTTTCTGAGCCATCCTGGAACTTTATGAATCGCTTTAAACATGTGGCCATTTGCTGTATATGGATTGAATGTAATTTATATTTTCCTCTTTATTATTGTGTGTGCATTGGCCACATTGTGAATAGGAAAAGCAAACATAGGAGAATGAGTTGCACAAGAAAGTATATATTTTCAACCATTTCAATAAAAATTCCCAGAGGATTTTCTACGAATTAGAAGCTTTAATTAACATTTGCCCTTTAGCATTCTAAGCGATGACCCAACCTATTGGTGTCTCCTCAGTAAATTACAACGAAAGCACAGAACGCACTTACGGAGATGGCAGCGGTTTCCATGGTAGCCGGGCAGGCAGGTACATCTCCCAGTGACTGGGTGACAGTCCGCATTCTCTGCTGAACACTGACATACCTGTTTACAATCCTTCCCGTATGTGCCTGGTGGACAAACTAAGGGGAAGAGGAAATGTAAACCCAATGAATTAAATTTGTCTGTGTAAATATAGCTCTAAAAGTGAGAGCGGAGAAAAATTTATTAAATAAGACCATTGCCTACAGAAGTGTGCTGCCCTTTGGGATTTAGGTTTCATTAAATTTACTTGGGGATTACTTCACTGTTTGATTTTGTTTTGTTCAGTCAATTTGTGACCGACTGTCAAGGGCTGGCTGCAATTTTCTTGTCACTGAAGAAAATCATAGGGTGATGTCAGGTAAAATCAACTAAAATAATAGTATAATTCATGAGGGACCACATATCTGGATAAAGATATTTTTTCTGGTGCAGCCGGTTTAAATTCTCAAGGTTGTTCCTCCCTGCACATTAGCATGTACTGTATTTGTGTCACTTGTCAGCTTCTCTGCTGGGTTGTGCTGTTTTCTTTTTACAGACCAAGCAGTGAAAGCTTTTTCTCCAACTTCTAAGTAATACTGTGTCATTTTGTTAAGAAAATAAAGTCGTTTGGAGCATTTTTCAGCTTACAAAACAGATTCAAGTAGACATTATGAGTTTCATGTTTTTTTCTAATAACTCAAGTTCAGTTATAAAAAAGTCTATTTGGTTGTTCTATATCCCAGAACCCTAAAATTGAATAATAATTTCTGAATCAACCTTTTCTTTATCACCTAGGGGCTTGGCATCATGAATGAATATACCTGATTGAAAAAAAAATACACACACATTGGGAAAGTTATGCCTTATTCACCCTTTCCATGTTTTTCTGTTAGCTGTGGCTGTGTGGCCGGGTGTCACTTGTTTTTTTTTTTTTTTTTTTTTTCACATTCACTATTCTTAAGATGATTTCCTCTCTGTTTTCATCAGGTAAAATAATAGCGTTAGTAGAAACTCTAACCTTCTGGGCCACTGGCTGCTTGCTAAGTGTTAAAAACTAAGATGAATGAAACACAAAGTGACTAAACAAAATAAATATTTTTTACCTCAATTTGCTGGTATATTTACAAATAAGTGAGTAGAATTTAACTTAACATCTGATCAGCTATTTATGTAATCGACTGTTTTTGTAATTAATTAATTTAAGGTATCATTGGTTTGTATCACTGTATTCTATTCAGGGGAACTGGTTCACACCTCCGCCGATGTGAATCCCCACACCCAGAGCACCCACATCCCTTTATCATATACCATTGGGCCTTACCTTATTTTGTTCCCACCCTTCTTTCTAAACTTATATTAGCCTCAATTCTGTAGTCATTTCTTTTTCTTTTTTTTTAAGATTTATTTATTCATGCATACAAGATCTGGGGTACAGGCCCGAGGTGAGGGGGGTGAGAGGATTCACCAGAGACAGAGCAGGGAGCAGAACAGGCAGACTGACTGAAATACACTGCTGAGGGGAGCAGTGGGCAAGCCAGGAGAGGTCTGCTGCACCATGTGGGTGGCTCCCTGGCCAGCTAAGGGATCGAACTCATGCTGCAGAGTCTGCAGATTGCTTCATAGGTTTGTCCCAACCCCTTGCACTATCAGGGAGGCCCCCAATTCTGCAGTCATTTTAAACTTTCCTTTGATTAGTTCTGTCAGTTCCTTTGTTTGTTTCTCTATATTCCACATATGAGTGAAGTCATTGGGTATTTGTCTTTCTCCTTTTGACTTATTTTACTTAGCATAATCCTCTCTAATTCCAACCAAATTGTCACAAATGGTCATCCTATTTAATAGCTGAATAGTGTCACAACATGTATATGTGTCATATCTTCTTAATCCACTCATCTGCTCATCTGTCATTGGGCACTTAGGTTGATTTCAAAACTTGCCTATTATATATAGAGCTGCAATGAATACAGGAGTGCATACATCCTTCTGAATTAGTGTTTTTGCATCTTTAGGATAAATGCAAAGGAGAGGAATTACTGGATCATGATATATATATATATATATATATATATATGTTTTTTTAAAGAGGCATGTATTTTTATTTATTTATGATTTATTTATTTGTTTGTTTGTTTTGTTTATACATGCACTGGGTACAGTCAGAAGCGCGGGAGGGTGAGAGAATTCACCAGAGCCAGAGCGGGGAGCAGAGCAGGCAGAAGGACCGAAGTACACTGCTGAGGAGAGCAGCGGGTGGCAGGAGAGGTCTGCACACCATGTGGGACCCTCCTCCGGTGGCCAGGAGCAGCCGGGGATCGAACCGGCGCCACAGAGGCCGCGGGCAGCTTCGCAACCCAGCGCTCAACCACTGCGCCACCGGGGAGGCCCCTTTTTGGAGAAAACTCCATACTCTTTTCCATAGTCTGGATCAGGCTGCATTCCCAACAGTGTATGAAGGTTCTTATTTCTCTACATCCTAACCAACATTTGATATTTCTGTTACACACACACACACACACACACACCATTCTCACTGGAATGAGGTTGTACTCATTGTGGTTTTGATCTGCAGTTCCCTGATGATAAATGATGTTGAACAAATTTTTTCTTTTCATATGCCTGTAGGTCATTTGTATTTCTTTTTTGGGGGGATGTCTATTCCTCTGCCCTCTTTTGATTGGATTCTTGGCTTTCTATTTAGTGCACAGTATGAATTCTTGGAGAATTTTGGATTTTAGTCCCTTATTGGATATTTTATGCACATTTTTCTTTCCCATGAAATACAGTATTTTTTTATTTTAATGGTAATTTCTTTTGCTGTAAAGCTTTTTAATTTGATGCAGGTCCAGTTGTTTATTTTTGCTTTTTTCCCCTTGCCATTAGAGTTAAGTCTTCAAAGATATCCCAGAAACCAAAGTTGTGGAGTGTTTGGCCTATGTTTCTTTTATGTAATTAATGGATTTTGGTCTTATAGTCAACTTATCCACCCATTTTCAGTTGATTTTGTGTATTGTGTAAAAATGTGGTCTAGTCTCATTTTTCTGCATATGATTGCCCAGTTTTCCCAACATCTTTTGTTTAAGAGATTTTCTTTTCTCCACTGGGTATTCTTGGAATAGGTTAATGTTCATATAAATATGAGTTTATTTCTGGGCTCTCAGTTCTATTCCGTCGGTCTCCATGTCTCCTTGCATTTCAATATCATACTGTTTTAATTATTACTATGGCTTTTTAATACAGAGGACTGGAAGTGTGATACCTTCATTCCCATATATTTTGTCAAAATCACTTCAGTTATTTAGAGTCTTTTGTGGTTCCATATAAAATTAATTAATGTTTGTTCAATTTTTTGAAGACGTCCATTGGAATTTAGTTAGGGATCGCTGTAAATTATTTTGAATAAGATGGACATTTCAACCATATTGACTTGTCCAATTCATGAGCAGGGGTTATCTTTCCATTTCCTTGTGTCTTCTCTTTCTTTTAGCAATGGCTTATAGTTTTTGTTGAATTGGTCCTTCACCTCCTTTGCTATTTTTTTTTGCTAGGTATTTAATACTTTTGATGCTAATGTAAATGTGATTTTTTTTTTAAATTTTGCATAGAAGAATTGGGGTGTAGGCTAGAGGTGGGAGGTGGGGGTGAGAGGCTTCACCAGAGATAGAGGAGGAGAAAAACAGGCAGCTTTACTGAAACACAATGCTGAGGGGAGTAGAGAGAGAGACTGGAGAGATCTGCTGCACCATACGTGGGTTAGCTCCTTTACTGAAGATCAAATTCAGGCCACAGTGGTGATAGCACTGAGACTTAACCCCTAGGCCACCAGAGAGTCCTGTGATTGCATTCTAGACTTTCTCCTCTAGTTTATTATTTGCATATAGAATGCAACACACTTTTGTACGTTGATTTTGTAAGCATCTATTTAACTGTATTGATTTTGTTGTTTCTAATAGTATTTTAGTGGGGTCTTTAGGGCTTCCATATGTGTGTGTATATATGTATATGTGTATATATTTAATATATATAATACATATAGAGAAAGATATATAATCATGTCATATATAAACACTAATAGTTTCACTTTTTTCCAATTTAGATTACTTTTACATCTTTCTTTTGCCAAATTGTTCTTGCTAGGACTTCCACTAATATGTTGAGTTGTAGTGGTGAGAGTAGACATCCTTATGTACATGATCTTAGAGAAAAAGCTTTGTTTCTCTCCATTGAGTAATGCTGGTTGTGGTGTTGGCATCATGGCCTTTTTTGTGTGTCATTCTCATGCAGGGGCATGCTAATCTTCTCTGTATCATTCCAATGTTAGTATATGCGCTGCCAAAGTAAGCTTTAGTTGAATTTTTTTATGTTGAGATTTGTTCTTTCCAACCTTATTTTACTACGATTTTTTTTTTAATCATAAGTGGGTACTGAGTCTTACCAAATGTCTTCTCTGTATCTATTTATATGATCACATGTAGTCTACTGTTGGTCCTACTTCTTTTATCTATGCATCACTGGCTCTTTAAATATGTATTAATGAAGCATTTATCCTGAATGGGACATGTATGTCAAAAAGCACATCTAACTTTGCTGCTTAAACATTTTATTCCTAAGAAGTGGTTAAGCAAGAGGAATTGAACATGGAAATTCAAAAGGGGTTGGGAGTGGATGTGTGGGATAGTCTCCCTCGTCTTAACCGCACTGTCAGTAAACACAGGAGGATATCTTCTGCATTGCACTGTAATGTGATGAAAAAGCCACCTAATGGCAGATTTCTAACATGAAAGACATAAAAATATCAGAACATATCAAAATATGTTTCATTGGAGGCTGCTAATAATTTCAGAAACCAAGAACTGAAGTTATCAGAAATTTTTCTTATCACTAGGAAGGCCTGTTTTTGCCATGAGGTTGTATAAACATAAATCCTGGTTTTCTCACAGCAAATATGACCACAAATCCTTGGGCTCTGTACAGATTAATACTACTCAAAGGTAAAAGTGCCTGTGCTAAATGCAATAAACTTTGCGTCATAAGTTCCAGTATCCCAATCCATTTAACTAGTTTTTGATCATGAAGTATAATGCCCACTGCATGGAACTTGGAGGAAAGATATATTCAGACTGGTTTGCTTTGAGAGGGCCCCTTCATGAACATTGTGCAAGCATCCAGGGAGGGCTGTCTATTACAGAGTATATATATTTTTTCAGTGTTTTCTTCTTTTATTTTTTTTATAAATTTTATTTTTATATTCCCCATACAATTGCAACCCCCTTATTTTGACCCCAATCCCTCCCCTCCCCAACCCTCACCCCCCACCCCCCATAGAGTATCTCTGGTTCATAGTTGTTTGTTGATTTGGATTTTCACTTTCTTATAGTTATTCATTTTCCTGGTGCCTTATTTAAGTTTTCTAGATTCCTGCTATGAGTGAGACCATCCGGTATTTTTCTTTTTCTTTCTGGCTTATTTCGCTGAGCATGATCCCTTTCAGTGCCATCCATGTTGCTGCAAATTGCATGTATTTATCTTTTTTGAATGCTGAGTAATATTCCATGGTGTATATGCATCACATCTTCTTGATCCAGTCATCTATTTTTGGGCATTTGGGTTGTTTCTAAAGCTTAGCTATTGTAAACAATGCTGCTATAAACATAGGGGTGCAGGTGCTCTTTGGAATTGATGTCCTCTGGGTAAATACCTAGGAGTGGAATTGCTGGATCATATGGAAGCTCTATGTTTAGTAGGTCCAGAAATCTCCACACAGCTCTCCATAGTGGTTGGACCAGTTTGCACTCCCACCAGCAGGGCAAGAAGGTTCCTTTTTCTCCACACCCTCGCCAACATTTGTTGTTGCTAGTTTTTTTAATATGTGCCATTCTCAGTGGTGTAAGATGGTATTTCATGGTAGTTTTGATTTGCATTTCAAGTGATGTTGAACATTTTTTCATATGCTTGTTGGCCATTTGCATGTCCTCTTCAGAGAAATTTCTTTTTAGCTCTTCTGCTCATTTTTTGACAGGATTATTTTATTTGTTGTTGAGTCTCATCAGCTCTTTGCAAATTTTTGTGATCAGTCTTTTATCATTAGTGTAGTGTGCAAAAATGTTCTCCCAGTCGGTGGGGTTTCTCTTTGTTTTTGTTATTGTCTCTTTTGCTGTGCAGAAGCTCTTTAATTTGATGTAGTCCCAGCTGTTGATCTTTGCCTTCACTATCACTGCTTTGGGTGATGTGTCTGTATAAATGTCTTTGATGTGCATATCACGTAGTGTTTCGCCTATATTTCTTTCTATGAATTTTATGGTTTCAGGTCTTATGTCTAGCTCTTTAATCCATTTTGAGTTGGTTTTTGTATATGGTGTGAGGTAGTGGTCAAGCTTCATTCTTTTGCATGTAGCGACCCAGTTTTCCCAGCACCATTTATTGAACAAACTTTCTTTGCTCCAATGCATATTCTTTGCTCCTTTGTCAAAGATTAGTTGACCATAAATCTGTGGGTTTATTTCTGGATTTTCTATTCTATTCCATTGGTCTGTGTGTCTGTTCTTCTTCCAGTACCATGCAGTTTTTATAATTATTATGTGAACTTTGGGTAAGGTAGGCCCATTGACCTTATCTCTGACCTCAAACAAGTTATTTAAACTCTAAGGCCCTCAATTTCCCTTTCCATATAATGTGACTGATAAAATATATCTCATACATAGTTATGAGGGGTGATCTAGCAGACAAAGAAACAGAGAGAATTTCTATTTTTGTTTCTTTTGAAACCTTTATATTGGGCCTCCCTGGTGACCTAAGGATTAATCTCAGTCCTATCACTTCTCTAGTTTGCCTAAGTTTGACACCAGCCAGGGAGCTAACCCACATATGGCGCATCAGGCCTCTCCTCACTTGCCTGCTGTTCCCCTCAGCAGTGTATTTCAGTACATCTACCTGTCCTGCTCCCCATTTTGTCTCTGGTGAATCCTCTCACCCCCATCACACCCTGTACCTCTGGTCTACACCCCAGTTCTTCTATGAAAAATAAATAAAAACTTTTTTAATAATTGAAACCTTTATATTTAAAACAAGAATTAACTATTTAACAAAGGAACTGTATCTGGGAAATGCCACAGAAGCATTCAAAAAGATTCTGGGGAAAAACATCTAATACTTAAGGACTGTCTTTTCATGTACCTGGTATCATGAAAAAAGCATATTAAGCAAAAAACACTGAAATCACATGATATGAAATTTCCGATACACATATAAATAAAATTTATCTATATTCTTATTAATAAATCAATGTTTTATGGCTTTGTAAAGTCAATCACAAGCGCTAATAATCTCTGCACCCAAGAAGAAGGTACATCTTTTGTTTTGGTGCTTGAATTTCAGAGTGATCAAGTTGCAAAAGATACAAGTAGTAGACCCCCAAAATGTTGACTCCTTGCAGCTCTTAAAGTGGTTCTCACATGGACTTTTAAATATAGTTGAATGAATCTGCAATTTATATTGCAAAGTAAGAAAATGAAAATTGAAGGAAAAGCATTCTGAATTCTATTGAAAAGTAAATCTTGGGAAACATTACAGTAATATAAATATTACAGTATTAATATAATGACAGATGACTGTATTGCGGGCATGATGTCAACCTATGTTACAAAACTTTCAAATTCCATAATGTTCTCATTTAGAAAAATAATTCCTTGATATGTATGATGTGTCAGATTCACAACAGTGAACAAATATGAACATGATTCTTGTACCCATCAAGCAGTAGTAGGGAGAAAAACAAAACAAAATAATCATTCATATAAATATCTAATTTTAAAATGGTGCAATCATTCTGGGTGCTATAAAGGAGAGTTAACAGCATTGGTCTTGATTTGGCCTGATAGATTTGGAACAGGTTAGGTTTACTGCTGATAATCCCTTTGAAGTCATCACTATTTACTGCTAATGGAAACACTAGAGAGGGTATATACAGTGGAGAGGGAAAGGAGAGGAAACAAGAGTATGGAGGAGAAAAACTTTCAGAGAAAAAGACCCAGGCACAAATGAAGTACTGATATGATTCTTAATGGAATATTGGCAATGGTATGTATGTCAGTATGTAAGACCATGGTCAAACTTATATTACAAATGTTTCTGTATTATGGTTGCTATTAAAAATTAACACAAATTTAAACAATACAAAGTTATTATCTCACACTTCTGGAAATAACATGTCTAAAATCAAGGTATTGGCAAGACTGTCCCTTCTGAGGATTTGAGGGGAGGATCTCTTTCATCTCTTCTTCCAATGTCAGTGAGTCACTTGCATTCCTGGACTTGTGGCCTTTCCTGTATTTTCAAAGCTAGCAGCTAATTTTCTCTCTTTTCTGATCTAGCTCCTTTGTATAAGAACACTTGTGATTATATTAAGCACAAACAAGTAATCCAGGAAAATGTCCCCATACCAAAATCCTTAACTACTTTTGCAATGTTCCTTTTTCCATGTAAGGTATATATTCATAGATTCTAGGAATTAGGACATGGACATCTTTGAGGGTCCATTATCCAGACTCTAATTTCTACATTCCCAAATGTTGCATGCAGCTTCTGATTTATCCCTCGCAGACCAAGTTATCAATAGCATTATATTCTTTTTCTTTAATTTTTTTTTTTTAAGATTTATTTATTATTTATACGAGCACTGGGTACAGTCAGAAGTGCGGGAGGGTGAGAGAATTCACCAGAGCCAGAGGGGGGAGCAGAGCAGGCAGAAGAACTGAAGTACACTGCTGAGGGGAGCAGCGGGCGGCTGGAGAGGTCTGCGCACCATGTGGGACCCTCCTCCGGTGGCCGGGGAGCAGCCGGGGATCAAACCATCAAACCGGTGCTGCAGAGGCTGCGGGCAGCTTCGCAACCCAGCGCTCAACCGCTGCGCCACCGGGGAGGCCCTAGCATTATATTCTTAATTATATCTTGGTGAAAAACTATTTATTGAAATCAATATAAACGTTATATTTTTAAAACTATATGATATAAAAAATCATATGGAAAACCTGTCACCCATTTACATATAGATGTTTATTTAGCTAATGGATCCGAAGAACAGATTTTAATACAACATCTCACTGGGAAGCAGCTTAGGGATACCTGAAGACTCAGGAAGAGCACTAAAATGTTAAGAAATTCTTCATTTTTCAGAGAAATTACAGTAGAGGTTTCAAGACATGTGTTACTTCTGCATATTCAATGAACAATTTGCTCTTCTTAGTGGTCTTTATAGTAATATTATTTTCATGTTTGAGAAACAAAACAACTTTTGGAGCTCCCTCCATTGTCTTTAGAATAGTGCACAATTTTATGTTACAGTCTC